TGGAGAGAGTGGAAGATTTACCGCTGATTGGGAAATTATCATGTCATCTGGGCGTATCTACGAGCCATAAATAGACGCGAATATGGCCTTAAAATGGCTGTTCATCTATTCACGCATTTTTACGTATAAAAACGTAAACGAAAAAATGAAGCCGCAAACGTAAAGACCAAGCTTGTATATATCCCTCCTAGGAACATGCGTGCTCTGAGACCGGCCCGCGTGCTCTCGCTCCCAACACCAACAGAGAGTACCATTATTGTGCCATTTTCACACTAAGTGGCGGCATCACAGTGACTGCGATGGCATAAATGTAGCTGCGGTGGCATCAATTAATGTAAAATGACATCGCAGCTTGCATCGAAAGAATTAGTTTTTCTACTGGTGCAGGGCATCGACCCCGGCCGCTCCAGAACCCCGCGGGAAGCCACAGCGGCCCCACTCCAAGAAAGTGCCGCCCAATGAACCACTGCCCCCCAGTACTTCACCACCGCCCACCATTCCTAAAAATAGATCCCCCCTTCCCAAACACCGACGCGCAACGGAAACTTCCGCATCCGTACAAAACCCCCACCCACTTACCCACGGTCACACGCGCCTCTCGGACGCGCCTTGCCCACAGCCGCCGCCGGCGCCCCCGAGGCCAGAAGTTAACGGTCCAAATCCCCCTCCCCCCACCCCTCACAAAAGCCACACACCCCACACAAAAAGGGAGGCCTGTCATCTCACCTCTCAACACGCGCGCCACGGCCGCGAACGCCGCTTTCTTCTGCTCGGCGCCCAACCCCCTGAGTCGTCGCCTGTTCCGGTGCCTGCAGTATGGGTCGTCCCTTCCGTCCAGCGCCAAGACGAACCCCGGTCCGACGTCGCGGCAGGCCTCCCGCCAGCCGCGGCAGGCGCAGCACATGGACGCGACGTCCAGGCAGGCCGCCCTGGGGTCCGGCGAGGTGCACGCGAGCTGCCTGGCTACGAGGGCCGCCACGCCGCTGGGCAGCTGGAACTCGTGACAAGTCGACGAACCCTCGTCGCCACTTCTTGACTGCGTAGCCCCGCCCTCCATGGGCTCGAAAAGTCCCATGGTCCGAAGCTTGTGCGAAGCCTAAGTCGTCGAGCAAGCACCCGAGGAAGGGGCGGGCAAGGTGGGAGCGTGTCGGGCCGACACTGTCGGCGGTTGGGGGCCGGTTGCCTCCGAAAGTGCTCCGACAGTTGGGCGGACCCCGGATGACGGCGTCGGGGGGCTCCTCGGAATGCGGCCGCACCTGAACCTTGGGATACGGGCCTGGGGGTCGCTCAGAGCGGAGGTCGGGGAAGATACGGAAGGATACACGGGGGATAGGGCGGCCTGGCGGCGGTCTTCCGTCGTTATCGTTGACGCGAGTCAACGAGGGAGATGGGGGAGGGGGTCCGGATATGGCCAGGCTGGGCGGGAGTGGGCGCGGGGGCCCACGGGCGGCCGATGGCGGCGCCCGAATGGGCGAACCTCGGTCGGGGATATATGGGGGGCCTCGAATCAGCGGGCGGGGCCCCCCAGAGAGGGGGCGGAGGTTGGGGCGGGTGGGGGGCCGTAGCGTTAGATATGAATCCTGGGGCGAATCCGATTTGGGGATATGGGGGGATTTGGGCGCAGGGCGGGGGAGGGGACGTTTGGATACGCCGGTCGTCGAAGTGGCGGCGAGGAGCCCCAATCCGCCAGGATCTCGCGGGCTTTCTTGTGCGCGGGCTGGGGAGGATCTCGGCGCCCCAGAAGCGTCCTTGGATGTGATTTTGTGGGGTCCGCCGCGCTGGATGCGGTTGGCTGATGCTTGTGATGTGAGCGCAGGTCTGTGGAGATGCCATTGCTGGCACAATGCACGTGAGGTGGCGCACAACAGGCAGATATTTTAGGGATTCATTGCGAAATTGTGCATTGGAAGGCAGGGAGGCACAAGAGGGACATCCTTAGGGAACCGCCTTGTGCGACTGGGAAAAGCGCGAAGTGCATCTCCCTGTGTATTGATGGGTGCGCCTATTGTCCATCTAAAATTTGGAGATATTTGAAGTGAGAAACATGCCATCAAACGAACAGGAAGATTGAGCGAGGTGAGAAGGCGCTGTCAAGACTTGTATTGCAAGCCTAAAGCAATGCTCACTTAGCACTGTTCACGTACACTGGCCGGGCAGTAGCGCGATGTATCACAATTCGCTTCTGGTTGCAAAACAGACATACACGGAAGTAAAAGTCTGTGTAGAAAGAGGCACTTCAGGGGAGGAACGCCGTTACAGCTAACAGAATATTGCAGAGGGTCAGCGGTGTGAAGGAAAGGAGGAGAACAGCAAGATTGAGACGACATGATGGAGAGCAAAAGGAGAAGCGAAGGATGGCAATGGCACTGCGCTGGATGCCAAAAAGGACGGAATGCGGTCCGCAATAATGTTGCAGCGACATCGCGTGCGAGCACGATGCCTTCGCGGCCAAATTTTCCATTGTGGGCGCTTTTGGTGAACGAGCATATCGCATGAGGAAATGCACCATTGGGACATGGCAGCCATTTGAATGTTGGTATTCAAGGGTGCTGCCGCCGGAATTATTGATGTGAGAATCTTGATACTGCTGCCAGGTAAAGGAAGAATATTTCACAAGGCCTCAGCGGTACATAGCAACGGGCAGCTGCCTGTGCATTGGAGTCCCCAAGGTATACAACTACTAGTGCGCATTTCAAAGGCTTCCCTTCTAAGGAAATGAAATCAATAGTTTCTTGTTCAAAAAAACACCATCGAAGAGAATAGAACCAATGCGAAGCTGAAGCGGGAAAGGCGAGTAGTTCCCGCCTAACGGAATGCCTATGGAGAAGGAACTGCGATTCAAAACGCAAATTTGAACAGACAAAACAGAGCAAGAGCTTCTGCCAAGAGGGCGGAACGCTGGCTGAGCGCATGCTCGGCAACTTGGAAGTGAATATCATCACTAGAGTTGGGTTTCTGGATAGCGGGGGACCATATTGAAGCCTGTGAAATCGGTGACAGACCGCGATTCGAACGTTTATTCCGGGACAAAACGACACAAAACCATGAAAACTCCCCCGAGGCACTCGGGATTGCCCGCTGATAGCATTTCATTTGCCATCGCCAAGGAGTTGCATACGCCAGATTTCGTGCGAAATACAGATAATCGCCACATTTTGGGACATTATGCAAAAACGCGTTTTAGATGTATGTTGGTACGCAGTAAGATCCTAAGATCACATCAATTGAATCACGAACCGCCTGCCGGCAGGGCAGCAACCTCCTTGATCCTGGGTCGCTGTTAGTGAGTCCACAGCACGGGCATTGGGCGCGGAAATTTCGACGGCCACAGGGAGCGAAGTGTTAAAGGCATGCAGCGGATGTCCCAAGAGAAGTCGCAAACTCCCAAAATCCCTGCCATCACATACTTTAGGTGATACACCTTTCGATCCGCAGCTACTGCGCCCAAGACGTGGCGTGACTTGAGCACAAGTGATTCCAGGACATCTGAGAAGCAGAACGCATGACCTCTGCATTGCGTTGTGAACAAGGAAATCGTTTCTGGCCTTGGCGGTGAACGGAAAGCAAAGGCTCCTGACGGGGGGCTGCCGTCCCCAAGCGTTTCTACAATGCAGCGCCGGGTCATGACCTGCTGCTTTCCTCCAGAACGGACATTCCAGATATGCGATGCGCAGGAGAAGCCAGTCACACAAATTCTTTCACTACGGTCGTGCAATCGTATGTATACAGCTGGGGCGATGAAGGCTCATTAAAAGACCAGCATTGCCCAAACTGCATATTCCGTATTTGCAGAACGGGTGTTGGTGGATGGGCAATGCCAGCGCTGACGGCTGGTGCTCTCACACAAATTCGGGGTTGGGGACCGACTTGTGTACCCGTGTGATTGGGCTTGCATCGCGCTGCGCCCAGCCAAACCTTTGGCAGCTTGCACCAAGATTTATGCCATCGTTGCCGTGGCTCAGCTCGCTGGGGTGTGCATACACCCCCAAGTAGACTTGTCGCTCACAGGCGCCCGCATGCAATGCCGTGCATGCTTTGCAGCCGCTCGATCACGCCACACCGCACCAATCCACACCACACAGTGCTGTCGGTCCATCCACTGCCACATTCAGTGTTGCAGCACCCACGTTCTGAACATGAGTTCTGTGCGCTGCTCCAATCCAATTTGCCCAAAGTGGAATGCAACCTGAATGGTGTGCCATCCTTTGGCAGTGCACCCACTGAGAAGCAGCGGCTATCGCTCCCATTGGCCCAAGATAGACTGGATTGATACCGTGCCTTAATGTGCCATGGTTTGTTACAGCTTGCAGAGGAAGCTGTGCGTGGGTTAGGCGCGTCCGCGGCACAGGCCGCCCTGCTGAATAGCAAGATCACTTCATCGTGAGGGCTAAGGTGCAGGGTGACCCTCCGGCCCCTTGGATGCAGAATGCCCAGCTGGTTCCCCATTGCTGGAATACTCAGCAGGCTGTAAAAGGGTATACCATGTTCGTTCCTGTCAACCAATTTCAAGACAGTTACTGCATCTGTGCCCTTGTGATGCAAGATTCAGGGCTGTCCCTTTTGGGACGTGACCCATGTGTCTTCAACGCACAATGAGCCCAGGTGGCACAGAGTAAGACACCTTGTGCGACGGACCTATGCCTGATCCAGCCATTGCCCGCCCTTTTTGAGAGACTACACACCACTAACGCGGCTACAGAGGGCACAGATGAAGGCATGCCATGAATCCAGTCTTACATCGTTTGGGTGAGCCCACCAGCGAGCTGCCTTGGATAATCAAGCATCCAGATCAGCCAATGCCAAAGTGCCCAACCACCACAACATCAATGATCTCGCATTGTCACTGCTGCCCACTAACATACAAGTCCAAGCTTGTGTCGTCACCTTCCTGCAAAGGGGTGGGGTAGCCCCCTCGATATCTAGACACAACAGTGAGCAGCCCATTGTGTCCATCCCACTGCTCCCTTTTGTGCCGATTCTTGCTCACTGCCCAACTATTCTCATGCATACTCACGCTTCTTTCTGCCTCCCACGCAGATACAACCGGCCGAGAGCAGAAAGCAAAAAAAGTAAACAGCTGCCGTGGCGTATAAGGCAGACGAGGCATTGTCTTTTTGCTCCTTAGTGGGAATGGTCAAATTGGTTGGCTCATACCATTCACCCACATGTCTGCAGCAGCAAATAAGCCACCACCACAAGTCAAACAGAGGAAGCTATCAAGAAATGATCGACGGATAGAGCAAGCTGCAAGTGGCATGGCTGAGCAGGAACGCTCCACAGCAGCGGAATATGAGCAGTCACACAATCGATGTGACATGGCAAGAAAATGTGAGTACTGGATGGCATACATGGGCCTGCAGCAGATACAGGCACCGGGCGCTACATGTACACACCAGCACATCAGCATCGCTGACAACAATACAACATCCCAGTGGGGACAGTTGGACAACTGTGATTGTGCTTCTAGAACAAGATGCATGTGATCAACGACTGGAAGAAACAACTCCTGCTTCCTCTGTTTACCCGGTGATTGGGCTGCAGGCTTCATTCAGGCACATTAGATTGATGGAGTTCTGCAACATTGACTTTGTCACCCTCACTATGCACACTATAGACTATTCATTGTTTGGGTTCTTTCTACAGAGAACTGCTGAGAATGCCAAGTGACCCATTGATTGAGAGGTATGAGGGCACGGTCACAGTAGTTGTGTTGGGTGTGAGCCAAGTGCGCAAGCAATAATCACAGCCTCGACCCAAATCAAATGCAGTGGGTAGTTGTTGAATGATGTGTATTCCCCAAGACACACTGCTCTCGTGAAAATCTTGTCCAATTTTTGCTTCGGCACCCATGACCACTGAACTTTAAGACAACAGAGCACTGCTGTGCAGCATATCAGCATATGCACTCCAGTGACTGCAAATGCCTCTCTGACAAGACTGTTGGAGGAAAGACGTAAGAAACGCATCGGGCGTCCCCCGGGGTTGTGCGCACACATGTGACTAGGAAAACAGCTTTGTGAAAAGATCCTCCTATGAAACACAGTGTCCAGAGAGGTGGTGCTGTGGTTTATGAGGCAGCTGTCTGTCATTTGATGAAGAAGGCAGCGCAATACCAGGGAGCTAGGGACGTCGTGTTACTCAACACTTGGAGGCAGCCCGATGGATGCTCAAGCAGTGGGCTGGCCACAAATTTCGTTCAGTCCCACGGCTGGCGCAACGACGACATGGCCAAAACGCCCGAGAACTGGCTGCGTGAATTTCGGCCCCGGCCCCACAGCCCGAGCACCGTATGCCTAAGGGATCCCCGCATCAGGGCCCTGGCCTGAGTGGCGCACCACACACCCCTCCGCGATGGTTCTATCCAGCCGATCAGCCCCACACTCACTTGTAATCTGTGTCGATCAGGTACCCCAGCATCGCCAGGAACAGCACGCCAAAGATCGACGTCAGGCTGCAGAACGTGCCACCTGCGAGGGCATCCAAGGACACATCGATCAGATAGCCCTGAGCGCACAACCGATCAAAGGCGCACAACAGGCTTGATGAGATACTCGGCGCGGGGCGGGGTCGCCGGGCGTCGCTGGCTGGCGCGGCGGGCGGGACTCACAGAGGCTGAGGGAGCACATGGTGGCGGCGGGAAGGCGCCGTAGGCGCCTGGCTCGCGGAGCAGGTCCCCAAGCGGCTGGCCTTGGGCGTGCGAGGTCGCGAAGGGTGAGGATGGGTGGGCTCCTGCAGAGGGTGGGGGGCAAGTCCCATGTGCCCGGGATCGACCGTCGCAAATCATGCAAAATGGAAGCCCATCATGACTTTGATGTTTGCGCGTGCCGGCTGTTTTCAGCGGCAGGGTGGGGAGCCGCCATGGCGCCCGAGTTTGCTTTGGGTGGCCCCTTGCTTTCGGCGCGGCCGTGCACTGCGGGCTCGGCATGGCAGGTGAACGGCTCAGGCAGAAGGCGAGACCTTCTCCCTCATTGAGACGGAGTGCATTCTTCTGGTGGCTGCCGTCGCGCGGCGACCGCTTGGAGATTGTTTGCGAGGCCCAGCGCGTCATCAGGCCCTGTGGCAGCTCCGCCCTTCCAATTTAGGGCCGTGGATCGAAATGCCAGACCGCCCATTGTGTTTGCAGCGCACTGTTACTTGCTTTTGTGATGGCAACCCTTTCGCGACAATGGCCGGGGATTAGGGTGCGCATTTGGCAATCGAGCAACGGGCCGTGGACTCGGTGTGCCTGCGCGCACAGACTGCAGTAGGCGTCTCTGTCTGGGCAGCCGTGGATGGCGATGGGAAGGCAAAGTAAAGCTTTGGAGTTTGGGTTCGATTTGGAGATTTTCGGTGGAGCTTCAGGTGGAGCGGAATGAAAGGCATTGGGGACGTTGTGCGGCCGCCATCGCCTGTGAGCTGCAGGGCTGTGCTTTGTCGCCCTGGGGCTAAAGCGAGCACAGGATTGATGCGAGGCGAAATCATTTCGACTTCACCCCCCAAACACGTCCAGTCACAACGCTATCGTTAGCCAGGGATGTACTTGAGTTGTTCCTTCGCTCTTTCAGATGTTGCTTTGCGTTTCGCGTTGCACTGAGCTGGCGACACGCAGTCTCAAGCAGAACGGAAAATATCTTAAAATTTATGATATTTACGTGATGCTTAAAGAAAAGATATCTTGTCCCGTAGAGTTGTGCAAGCCCAAATCTTGCATGCCTTGAATGGTGCACCTTTGGGCCTCTGTGGTACGTTCGCACAGAAGGCTCATTCAGACTAAACGATTGTTATGGTCGAAATGTGTGGCTGTGAGGACGAACCACCTCATTCTTGTTGTTGTTCGTTGACTGTTGTGAACTCCCTCCGTTGTTTGTTTTTAGCTGATTATTACACAACCCGAAAGTCCTTTCATCAGAATTGCCATTCTTGGACGAATTAGCACCTGATGATTCGATGACAGATGTTGCTAAAAGTTCAGTGCGATGAGAGATTCAGGCATGATGTTGATAGTCATTGCGACAAATTAATAAATTCAACAACCGAACAACAAATCAGCGTACAAACGAAATTCGACGGCATTTGTCATGGAACCTGCCCGAACATACCTCCACCATGAATTTTGACTTGAAATTGATCGTACATGATCCAATGTACATAGCTGGCACCGCTTTTGTGCTGTGCTATACTTGCCCTGTGTCGTTTTTTGTTTGTGCCTGGCAGACCTCTTGGGACACTCAAGATAGTCTTACAAACATGAGCTCTTGTTGAGGGGAAGATGATGCACCACAATAATAGTCACAAGGCAATAACTGACAAGCCCTCATGCACCATGTACATGCAGGTGGTGGTGCTTGGTTGGTTGGGGAGCAAGTGGCAACAGCACGGCTCGATCCTGATTGTGCACCTTTTTGTTTTGCTCGTGTTGCTGTTCTGAGTACCTTGTGCAAGAATACCCTCCCTGCCCCAAAACCAACTTCATCCATCTTCACACATGCGGTCGCTACCAGTAGTCTATATTGATTGGACTCAGTTAGTTGTCCGATGGAGGCCACTCTGAGAGGACCCACTCCTGAAAATTGACTGTTGCTGCATGCAGGAGCCGTACGCCAATCTGCAGGACCATTGCATGCAAGCCAATCGATGGCAAGCAATGGGAACAGGGAGCACGATGACAGCAGCTTGAGCAGTGGACAAGGTGGGCGTTGGTTGGGAGTGGGAGCACAATGCAGCACACAGAAGCAACTGATACCTGCCCAAAGCACACATGCAACCACCTAACCACAAAGAGAATGTTCAGTAGCAAACTAGACCATGCTTTATACGCCCTTCCAGGGTATGAGGGAGTTCAATGGGTTCTGTTGTGTGTGTCCATACCTACACATATTCACACATGCACGGATTTGGAGTTGAAATGCGTTCAATAGTGCTTCACTTTGCCACAAGCAGGTCATTTGGCGTGCACAGCGGCTGTTTTTTAATCCTGCCGCCAACTTTGCTCAGTGCTTTTGATGCTGTGCCTGTTTCAGATTTTGTCTGTCTGAAAGAATGCCAAAGAAGCATTTGTCCTTCTCCCGCAACAACATGAAGTGTTTGTGGGTGAAGTACTCAAGTAGTTTGATCGGCCCTCTGCCCATAGTATGGAGTGTGTTTGTCTTCCGGGTTTACAGAAAAGCTGTTTTTCCTTGGCATTTGCTACTATAAGAAAGGCTAGCCATGCCAGCCTGTGTTCCATTTGTACAACTTCACAAGAGACACAGCCTTGCCAACCGCTAGTGCAAGTTGTGGAGAACAGCAGGTTTGTGCTCCTTTGTGTTTCTGACACAGGCCACACTGTCAAGGCACTATGGCCCAGGAAGTGGTGCCCATTGCTTGAATCATTTCTTATTGTAGTGCCATAGGCAGTGCCCTGAATGCATATGCAACTTGCAGGTTTATATCATCTAATAGCATCTGTCAGAAGGAGATAGCACTACCCTTAACAACTTTGAAGATGTGGACCGTGACAACTTACCAATGCTTTGCGATGAGCTTTTGCCGACTCTGCAGGTGCAGAGTCCAGGGATTCGAGTGATGTAGAAGGTGAAGCTCCAGCTGGGCCTCTCATAGGAGGGCCCACAGGGGGCTGTTCAGCCCTCTCTGCTGCATTCTCGAGAGTACTGGGAAAGAAGACCAGGAGGAAGGAAGGCATACTTGGGGTGGGTGCTCATGCTCTTGGTGTACCGGGAACCACTCTTTGTGCATATCTGGTAACTGGCAGCTTGGTTTCAGGCCCCTCTCAAGCTCCACCTGTGGCGGTGACACTGCGTTATTGCTGCTTGCATCCAAGTCTTAAATACAGGCCAATTCATTCGGGTTGATTCAGATATTCATGTACACTGCGCAAGGGTGGCAGTTTTGCTGGCAGGAATTGCACAAGCACTGTGTCTCACGCTTGGGCCTTGCATTTGTAGACTGCTGGATGCGCTGCCGCTATCTGATAGTTGTAACTCAGCATGGACATGTGCCATAGCCATTGTGTCACTTTTTCTTGTTGCTGTACTGGACGCCATCAGTCTGTTTGGTGGTGTCAGGAAAGCAAAACAAACCAAAAGAGGAAAAGGGAGGATGAAGACGAGTTGGAGGCAGTGGCAGAGCAGGTGCAGAAGAGGAAAGGCATTTATGAGATGGGACATGTCAAAGTGCCAAAGCTCGGCATGGACCCGGAGCACGATGCTGAGAACAGGAGGCTGGTGAAGCTGGCAACAAAGTGAGTGGGTTTTCTTCTGAGATTCAAGAACACTGTGCAGTATTGCAAGAGGCAAATATCATACCTGCATGGTAATACTGGGCAGTTTGCGGCACCCAGTGTTCTGTTCCAAAAGCTGTCCAGTGGCCAAATGTCAGATGAAGCAGATGGGATGGAATGTGATGGACTTTTTCTGCTTCAAGTTTCTATGTGTGTGTGCGTTCGAGTCGCCGTTTTTAAGTGCTGCCCATGGCAGGGTGCATTTCCCTATAGATCCTGTTTAATTGGAAAAATATTGGTGCTGGTGGTAACCCCACTTTCTGTTTCCTTCTCTTTTGCTTCAGATAATGCACACCATGCAACTGTCCAATCCAGCATTATGGAGTGCACACAAGCAACTATTAGTGACCGACATTTGGACGAGTTGGTCAAAGCGATTCCTAATTGGGCTTCCTGGCATCCTGGAATGTGTGTCTTTGGGAAGTGTTAGATGGTTCCAAGCCAACGGCTGGATGGAGACAGCGATACAACAAGACTGAGTAGCCATCCCTCATGGATGTTTTCAGGCCCAGCCTTGGGTTGGCACCACGTACTTCCCTTCCATATATGTTCCCTAAGCATGGAAGTGAGCAGGAGAAACTGTTGGCAGATGGACGGGGCTGGCTGAACACAAGCTGAGGGCTCAATGGCTCCAACACAGCCAATAGCGCTTTGCACGTTGCCAGTGAGCGTTGTTGTCTTGAGATAGGGTTTCTCGTATCAACATGCAGGCAAGGGCCAGCAGGACAATGAGGGTCAGATCACGATGTCTGCAGACGTTCACTGACCCCGGCCAGAATATTCTTGACATAACTAGCAAGGAGGCAGGAGAGTGAACGCTCCTGGGTGCATGGGGTTGCTGTGTGGACATCCCTGATGATCAATTGAACTGCTGTCACAACTGACAGGGCAACTGCAGACCATGACAACGTTGATGAGCGTGGGTTTTGGGGCCGAATCTAAGTGGTTTTGGCTTGATATGCAGGGGCGTTGTGCGCTTGTTCAATACAGTTGCAAAACTTCAGCATGCACAGAAAAAAGCGTCCTCGAAGGCTGCAACACGGGCTGCTGAGAGGAGGGTGAAGTTCTTGGATGAACTTAAGAAGCCACTGGATGCAGGGCGACAAGAGGGAGAGGGAATGGTAGGTGTTAATGGCGGTGCATATTCTGTCCCAGTTCCCACCACAGGAATTGCTGATGATGAATGACAAAGTGCTGTCCTGGACCCTGCATCAACTTGGGCTACAGAGAACTAGTCAATGCAGGTTCCGTGACATTGCTTTGATTCATATGGCGGTGTGCTTTTTGATGCATCCATGACCATGTCAAGACGCAAAAATTGTTGGATTTCAGAATTTTCACCTTATTCGTGAAAATGTTGCGTATCAAGATTGTTATTATATGAGTTTCAGTTTTAGGCTCAGGTGGCGCCAGAGTTGATGCTGGCGTCAATGGACGCAGGCCATGGAGAATGGCCTCATGCAGATTCCTGGCGCACAAAGAACGATTCTGATTCTAAAAATTGGTGCTGTATTCTGCAGGGTAACAATGGTAAGAGACGCTCCGCGACAGGAGAGCAGAACCAGGAAGGACATTCCGGCTGGGATGTCCTCAGCGGGTCGATCCCCAGTCCAGTACGGGATCTGAATGAATGGGACAGCGACGCAGAGGAGGAAGAGGAGGAATCCAGGAAGAGTGACAGCGACGAGGCGGAAGAAGCCTTTCTTAAAGATGAGGAGGCAAGCAGCGGCGACGACTCCCATGATGAGAAAGACGTCGACGCCCCAAGCACGGAGGGAGACAGCGATGGCGGTGGTGAATGGTAGAATTCCGTTTGGATTGTGTTGAAGTCCGACAGCCAAGGCGATGGGCTTGCACATAGAGATGGTAGCTGGGATTTGGATGCGCGTCGGGGCTCAGAGGACAGAACTGTAGGAGTGTCTGCACGGCATTGGAAGGCTGTTCATGTTCGGCACACAGTACGTGTGGGCCTTGTTGGCGTGCTGGCCAACGCGGAACAGGAACGGAAATCAAATTTTATTTTGTAAATTACGTAAAACTCGTGAATGCCGAGAATTGATAGGGAAAGGTATTTGGTGCACCGGTGCCTTCTCAGATCTTTCGCAAGCGCAGGGCGTGGCTGGAGGGTCTAGTCTCAGACTCGGCGCCAGTAGGTGTTCTGGCCCGGAACTTCCTGGCCCTGAACTGCTGCCTCAGAATGGCCAACTGGGGCCAAGCTCCACAAGCATGGCGGCCCATATGGCCCCAGCGACGCGCAAGCGTTACGGCGGAAGTGGAGGTGCAGGATGGTTGGGAATGTAAAGCGCGGCATCAACTCATGCCAGCACCAACGGACATTCTCGATGGTTCCAGGTCGAGGGAAAATGTGACCCGTGTCTTGCCAAGTGCGGCCCAAACCAGAACCAACAGGCGAGATATGTCCTTAACCCTCATGGCACAGATGGCTGTCGGTGTTTCTCACATTTCAAGGATGAGACACAGGCCTTCCGAGGCGCGCGTTGTGGGGTTGGTGCGCATGGTTCAAGGGGAACTGCTTCTGCAATGCCGGTTGGCTATGTGCAGGCACTGGTCATGGAGCGACGGCAGCACAGCTGCTCCACAACAAGCCACGGTCCTCAGCGGCCCAAGGTAAGACACCACAGCGCCCAACACAATGAAAGAATAAATAATGTACACAGAAACTGGTGTCCAGGTCCTGCAATGTTACAGAGGGCGGTCGTCCCACCGCGCACCCTGCCGGCCCATCAGCCCTCTTTATTACCCTTCTCCCCCGTGCCCCGATCTAGGCACCTCAACACCTGCTGCACTGCATGCTGCACGAGTGGATGATACTTCGATGATGCGTCCCTGACCTCCTGCGGCCCAACAACTCGCACCAGCTTACCAACAGGGTACACGAACGAGTGGGGAGTGTAGGGGTCCTTTGCAAACTCATGCCTCCCATTGTGGAAGTGCGCAACCTGGTTCAGCATCTCCATGCACTTATGGGCCAAGCCCCACCCAGCGTAGATCTTGGACGAAAAACCTTGCGAACATAAAAAGCGGTCCGGGTCGCAGTGCCGGCTGCCAGTCTGGCTCAGGAAGCTTCTCTTCCGTGCCCAAGATGTGCTCCGCAAAGTTGCACCCAAGCTCGGATTTCAATTTCTTGTCAAAGTGCGCAAGCATCGAGTAGGTGGCCAAGTCGTCCAGCAGGGCACAGATTAGCTCAACCAGCCATTCTGAACACTCAGATGTGGATGAACCATCCACTTTCAGGAGCCCCTGTTTGCAGTCGGTTGGAGAGAGGGCACCAGCGTCTGAAGGTGCCGTGGAGGGCCCGGCAGCAAATGGGTTGCTCCCTAAAGTACCAGCAGCCACTGCATTGCTGTCCCCAGTGTTGGAGCTGCCGATCCTGTGCCCTGGCCCCTTCCAGTCTGAAGTGTCCATGGAATGCCAGCCTGTCTTCACAGCATACCGAGACACGGTCCCCTCAACGGTGCCATCCTCCAGCTCTCCCGACTCCGCGTCATCTGACAGTGCCTCAGAGTCAGCGGCGCTTGGCCGCGGTGATGGGTTGCCCTGCACAGAGGTTTCCGTGTCCGACGAGAAGGACCATCCCAGCGTCAGAAACTCTGCCATGGACATCGAGCCAGGCTTCCTCTGCCGCTTCTCCATCGTCCACGGCTGCGTCGCCTTGACGACCTCCTTCTCCTCAACCAGGGCCTGGAAGTACTTGACCCGATCCTTGATGTTGTGCGGCAGGATGTGATGCATTTCCTTCATCCGCTGCCTGGTGATGGCGGCGGGGCTCTTGACAGCATCGTGATCGGCCTTCCACTTCCTGCCCACAGGCTGCCTGGGGGGCCTGCCAAAGCCAGCTGCCAGCTCCTGCGAAGTGTTGCTGGGCTCGGCCGCCAGCTCAGCCACGTGGCCAGGCCTGCAGTGGGGCGAGATTTGCCAATCGCAAGAGCCTCCATCATCGTCCTCCATATCGGCTTCGTTGCCTCCATCATCCGCAACATGAGATTGAATGGTCAGCCCATTCTTTGGCGCTTGGGCTTTGTGTCTGCCATGCCTGCCATGCCGTTCTGTTCTCAGCCCCTTGGGATGCTCTGTACTTGGCGCCTCCACACCACACTTGTCAGAACACCCATCAATGCACTCACATGACGATCGACTTCCAGTACTTGACTGTGTCTCACATTGCGCTTCCTGATCTTTGCATTCCTTGGACACAACACTGGTTGCATTGCTGGCACTATGGCAGCTGGCAGACTCCAGAGAGGTTTGGGCCACATCCATTTCTCCGTGCTGCACACATGAGTTTCCAGCCAGATTCACAAATCCCCCTTCTGCTTCACTGTGCCTGTCCTTGTCATTCCCAATACTGCATGCAGGTGCCAGTCTTGCGACATCATCACCACGTCCACACGCATCGCCAAAGTCCGAATCTCCATCACGACCCACTCCCACTTCACCACTCCTCCAGGGCGTTCTGGGCTCTGGCACAGCATCTCCACACCTTTCTATCTCATCCTCGTCATCTCCCCTGGCCAGGATCCTACCCAAAGACTCCCCAGGCACACCCTGTGGAGTCGTGGGCTCTTGGACCTCACCGCTCTCGTCCACAGTCCCATCCTGGCCATCCACCTTTGGAGCAGCCTGGCCATCGTCCACCACTTGATTCCCAGCATCTGCTGTTTCTGTACTCTCCACTGGTGCCGGTGGATCATCGCCCACAGGCACGGCACTGGATGAGTCAACTGCTGTGCCTTTACTCTGTGCTGGGTTTGTTGCGCCTCCTTCCATCGATGGACTGCGACCAGGGCTGGCACTCGAAGGGCAGGTGGTTGCTTCCTTGGATGAGGATCGGCCAGTGATGGGCTCAACAAACGCACCCAGATGCTGGCTCAGTCGCCTGGTGAGGGACCTCTGCGGCTGGGGTTCTGCCTCCAGTTTCACGAATGACTCCTGGAACAATATGCGCTGGATCTCGGAGGCCGACACAGAGCGAAGCAGGCCTGAAGATGCAGGGGCCTCTTCAGCCACTGCATCTTCCAGGGCAGCTGCACAGCCACACAAAAGCCAAACACTCAAGGATTGCAAAGATCCCAAACCAGACAAATTGCTCATTTCCTGCCTGCAAAGAATCGGTGCTGGCTCTGGATGGGCAGTGTCTGGAAGGAGGGCGGGGCGAAAGGAAGCCTGGTGTGCACAACTTGGCCTAAAACCTTGGGCCATTGTGGAACACCACACCCAGGACACAACACAAAGCCCTGGCCAAAACTCACACCTTTCATTAGGACAACTGGCTACACTCTGCCGCAATGCGCTAGCTTACCTGGCATCGAGAAGACGGCTGCCTGAACCTTAACAAACTCATTCCATCCTATGCATTCTACAATCTCAAACAGAAGGTTGAAAGACGATCGCACGATGGCACGCATTGCATGGGAGGGCGCCACCTCGGGGGCCGCGGCAGAGCCCTCGGGCCCCCAGGGGACGATGACCTCTGCTGGGAGAGACTGGATCAAATTCCCAGGAGCCCTGGCCTCATAAGAGATCTGGCGGAATTCCTCCACCTGCAGTTCACGAATTTTGGGGATGAACAAACATTGTGTCACACAAAATGTGGATGAAGTCGTGTACATCAGTAACCTCAAAGGTGCAAGGAGTCATTGTGTTTATAAACAAGCTCAAGGGATTGGAACACATGCTTCTAGCACTCGATGTCGTGCACAACACATAGAATTCCTTCCTTCTATTAGACAACAGTCAATGCACATCCTTCTTTTTGCCTCAACATCAGCACAGCATTGCCCAATGAGCTTCTAGGCAATGTTTCTTTTCTTGGATTCCAAGTATTACGTCACATGAAGGCCATGTTGGGTCGTTCAGGTGGATGCTGTCCATACCTAAACCTCGTTGAAGCACAAACTTTTGCCAAGGGGGCCCAGACTGTGGGGTTGTTCTGCTTGTACTTTGGAGACGTCCTTGTGATCAGATTGCCCAAGTTGTCTGAATTCACAAGAATAGATTTCATGTCAGGGATTGCGCATTGAATATATGCTGCACAAGACAGAGTTGCAGTATTACTTGGTGCTCAGCCCCCGTCTGTTAATCAAAACTGACAGCAACAACCGCAACACAAACCATCTGTGAGCATTCTTGAACAAACAATCGTTTACGTATTGCAGTTTGTTTAGTTACATCGTTTGCAACACAATGGCATAGTATCCAACGTATCTTGACCATCAAAGTCCCTTCGCATCGGTCGCCATGAGCGACTGGGAGTCCTGTTCCCCAAAGATCCATCTGCAATCAGAGAATGTTTTCCCGCCTCAGCAGGTTCACGTGGGCACAAGTGAACTTGCTGAGGCCGGAGGCCTGAGGCAAAGGGACTTTGACAGTCAAGATACATCAGATACTATACTATTGTGTTGCAACGATGCAATCAAACAAACTGCAAATACATAAACGATTGTTTGTTCAATTCTGAGTTGGATTTCTTGAGCGCTCACCTCTGGGTTGTACTGTGGATGCACAGGCTTGGTCATGCCCTTTGGGGGTGGTGGTATGACGTGGAACAGGAGCTCCTTGCGTGAGGCGTCCATGATGGGTGGCGGCATCGAATTCAGGGCCTGCAGTGCGGAGGCGTACTCCTTCTTCTTAACAAGGCAGTTGATGAGCAGTGTCCATGCTGGCCGAATCTGCAAGACAGCAAGAAGTAGTGTGACCAGGGTACTACATATGTATTGAGATAAGCAGAATGTACACGAAATGCACTGGGAGCTGTACATTGTCACTGTGGTGTAATTTATCATAAGCCAAAAATACAGGTGCCGAAACACATGCCAGCACAAATGTGGCAACCAAATCAATTTGGCTTCACAAGATCGGACAGCTGCACATGCACAGCTCCCAGGAAGGAGTAGCTCGGATAAAAGGATCAACAAGCTTGCAGAGTCTTCCTCAGCTCACCAATATGTCACTCTCCAGGGCCTTCCTTGCCATCTCCTCCGCCAAGCCCACTTGGTCATTCCGTAGGCGATCCCACCCAAGGCCAACAGTCAGGGCGGCCGCATCACTGCCCGTACAGGTCCCCTCTGCCTCCTTGAGAGTGGAGCTCGCCTCATCGGAGTTGCCCAATTTGCCTTGGACTGCGGCGATGTAAATGGCCGCAAGAGGATGATGCTCGTGCAACTTCCTGAAGAACTCCAATGCCTGCAGTTCACGTGGTACGTGATGTCCTCATAAAGAGAAAAACCTGAAACACCCTTGTTGTGTACACAAGAGGCTCTTGTGCTTTTGTCAAGAGCCAAAGGATGCTGACATGGTGGGCAAAGGCAATGGAACTGAGTAAGTTACCCCGACTCAGCTTTTGGGGCAAAGGCATACTTCACGTGCAATGCAAAAGCATGTGCTGAACAGATAATGTCAGTAAACTGCAAACTGAAAACAACAGGCTCATGCCTTAATAGACGATTCAACAAACTCTGCTAGGACAGCTCGCCCAAGTGAACTACGAACAAGCACATTCAGGCTGAAACACATATTAGTTCAGTGGCAGCAGCTCCCTCCACATGCATACTTTCTGGCCTCAGGTGGGCATAAGGCACTGTTGCAGATGCGCTACCCCATCTGTGGTGCCCCACAACACAGCAAAACCACCACATTTATTCAAGCAACCTTTTGTTGCCTTTCTTTCTCCTCTGGGATCTTATGAGGCTGCTTCAAGACTTTGCTACAATAAAGTATGGGAGACAGCACTGGGCATATCGTATAAACCAGCCTACAGAATGAAATTATGAACCGCTATGGATACCACAAGCCTAGATGACAATGCAGAATCACTGCAGGTAGTTCAGGAGCACCCCATGAACTGACTAGCATCAACACCCCAAACATATATCCTCGTCAATGCAATGGAAAACGAAAACAAAACCAATGAAAAAAATAATGCCAAGTGAAAACAGGGACTGTGTGGTTCACCACCTGCTGCCACCGATGCGTCCTGCCAAAATAGTGCATCACCGTGGCAGCCACAATGTCCATATCTTCAGCACACACTCCCTTGCTCTTATCCCAATGCAGCCGGTCCAGGCATTCTTGCACAGTGCCCTCTTGGTACAACTGCAGCAGCACCTCCAAAACCGATGCCTCCTCTCGGGCAGTAGGGAATGGGTCGAGGTGGCGCACGGCTTTGCTGCTGGACACAGTGGCAGCATCGTAGAGCTGCGAGCGCAGGAAGGCTGCCACGTGCACATGCCTCCAGATTTCAGGGGTCAAGTCAAATCTGAGCGGCACATAAGGATTCAGTTCTGGGACATCTATCTCTCCCTTCACAAGGCCCCGTCCACTCCCCCCTCTTGCTGCATGTTTTCTTCTCATAGGCGCTACTCAGCATAGAGGCATTCCTGTTCATCTTGGAGACTTCACACAATCTCCTGTAGTAAGGCATACAATATCACAAATTTTGTGCTTGGAGATGTGGTGTGCTAGGGTTGGTGGGGTTGAAGGAAGGGGGGAAGGTGGGGGGTGGGGGTTCAGCTAAGTAAGATATATGTGCATTTTCTGGCATTATGAAGACAATTTCCATCCCAAGGCTTTGGGCTGCACCTGCTCCTGGATTGGCTTGTCCTGCACAAGGCCCCAACGGGTTGGGTAAAAAACCAGAATTTGTTATGGTTTGCAGAACGGGTGGCAGAGTGAGACACGGCATGCTATGCTGGACACTGAAAAAGGGCGTGCAGTGGGAGTGCCAGTATGGCAGCTTGAGGAGGTGATAGTGTCATGAGTTCGCTATAAGCCATCTTCAGCAGACAAGAGCATGGAGAGCTGCATCAGTTGCCCTATAGAGCATAACATCGCCCAATAGATGCAAGTACTATGAGTTGCCATACTTGCTGGATGACATCAGCATAGGCTGCATGCCATGTGGAGACTCAAGCAGCAGTTAAGTTTGCCAATAACGGGCGTGCAGCTCCCCAGCACCGCCTACATAGCTGAAAGGGCAATAAATTGCCATGTTTCCACCAATGCAATAGATGAGGCACGCTGTGCAGTGCTGTACTGTGCTGTCAATCGCAATGCACAACAATGGTGGTTGCTGTTGGTTAATTGGTGGTTGGTTGGGTGAAAGAAAGCATGCATCCCTGCAGGCAACTTGAAAACACAACAAACTGGTCATGTGTCTCTGGTGAACTCGACTCATCAGAAAGCGTCAGGACTCCAGCGGCCCATACATCCCTCACATTTTCAGCAAAAACACCCTAACCCCTGCGTCATCAGGTGGGTGGGTGGGTGGTGCCTACTCACAGGTCCCCGACGCTGTTCACAGCCCGCGCCACCACCCCTCCTGGGACACACATGTCACACCACACGTCCAGCTGGGAAAAGGGATCGTAGCAGCAATATATACCCCTCTCAACAGTGTAGTCCTTGGCAGACAGCAGCCCTTGCAGAAAACCAACCTGCAAGGCAGCCCACGGTGGACAACTGTTTCTCCACACTGATGGCTTCATTGTGACAAAACTTGCTCAATCAAGGTAAAGTTCAACGTGGTGCAATAATGTGGTCCTGCCAGGTGGCTCTGCCAACTACAGACACTTGCCCCCAGTGTGAGATTGTTCAATGATCCACAGCAGCCCAACTCCAGTGTCCCCAACAAGGCAGCAGGCGCGTCTTGGCAATCAAGCACCCAAGGACAGGCAGATTCCTCAATCGACAGCAACCAAATCATGGGAATAAAATGTCCTCACAATATTTGCAAAAGAAGACCACCACCGATCGACTCTGGACAGGTTTCCTCACCAGCTGCAGTACAAGGTACCCACGCCAATCAATCAAGACCATTTAGAACCCACCGCCCTTCCCCCCCTCCCCCCCTTCCCACATTGCACTTAACATTCCGAACATTCACTACCTTTTTCACAAGGGCCCTCTGAGCACCCGTTTCCCTGCCCTTCGTGTTGCTCGCGTTGTGTGCTCATCATTTTGCACTGGAGACTCTGCATCATCTTTTCACAATATGGAAAAGAGTCTAACACGCCCCTGCTCAAAAGGGGTTGCCCTTTTGATGACCTACTCTCTCTTTGCAACAAAATTTACCCACCCCACCCCAACGCCCCCTTTGTGTTGTGTGCTCATCATTCCGCACTGGGACACACATCACCGCTTCGCAGATCGGACAAGAGTCTCTCGCACACTTGATCAGGAGGGGGCGCCCTTCGCATGACCCGTTTCTCTATCTCTAAGCAGGAAATCACCACAACACCCCGTTCTCATTCTAGTTCCATTTTCTGGGAAGGCTTTGCGCACGGACACCGGACGAACGCCACTGACCACGCCACGTCGACACCACACGAAGCTCCAATGCATGAGCGCTCTGATCCCTCCCGGGGCTTCCCACCTATGCCTCCTTCGAGATTCGGGAGGAAAGGGAGGGATGCGGCCTTGACTGCACGCACTTCGCGAATCCCACCACCCCGTCCTCAAGACTGGACCCAGCTTTCCCGCCCCCCGCACCTTCTCCATCCCTGCCGCCATGCTCGCGAAGTACGCCGCCACCGACGCGCTGGAGCTCACGTCCAGGCCCAGAACCCAGTGGTAGTATCCCCTCAGGTCAGAGCTCTTCCGCCTCAGCAGTCCCCGCGCCGATTTCTGCACCCAGCACAGGTCGGGCGGCCCAAGCCCCCGCGAGCCCCCGAGGGACGCCACGGCCGCATCCCTGGACGCCAGCGCCTCACCGAAGCACGTCTCCGCGCCCTCGGGCGTCTTGCGCACCGCATCCGCCATGTCGCGGCCCCGCGGCGCGACCCCGAGCGGGGGGAGGCCTCGCCGGGGATCCGACTGCCCCCTCTTCCTGGCTCGATTGTTTAGGTGAGGATCTTTCTACGCGATTTGGCGGTCGCGGATGGATATGGAAGGGGCGATGGGAGGGTGGATCGGCGGTGGTGGCCGCCGCGGGCGCCCACACGGCTTGTCGTGTCGTCGGCGCGGCGCGGGGAGGAGGCCGAACGGCTGAGGGAGCCAGTGGTTTGAGGAAACGAGCAACTGAGCGGGAGGGTGATGCAGGCTTGGTGGGCGACATGGAACGGAGTGATGCGTCATGACATGTCAGGGGTGAAAGGCCCGATGTCATGATGAGCGGTTCGATGTCGTTTTGGAGACATCCGAGACGTCGCGGGCGCGCTCGGGGCCGATGCGCGTGGGGTGGATTCGGATCCGCACGCTGACAAGGCGGGGCAGGACCGAGGGATATAGAATTAACTATCCTGTTAATGAGTTTCTGCCTAGGACGACGATTGGGTGGGCGCGCAACGGCTAGGTCGGGCCGTTCCGCCCTTTGGGACAGTTTGGGCCATCCATCAGCCGGTTTCTGTCACCCCTGTACTCGGGGTCAGTACTGCCCGACGCATCCTAGGGCGATGGGGTTGATCCTTGTACCTTGGGCGCAGCCACGGGGACCGGTCAAGCTGGCCCTTGGGTTTGGCGGGGAGTTTGGC